GACCTGGAAGATACTTTTATTACCTATGAGAACTTTATTATATGTTTGTACTTTGTGTATTTATGCAAGTGTGTACATGCATGTGTATAGCTGAACATGTACCATAGATGTGGAAAAAAGTCAAATGATAACTTGCTGAGGTAGGTTGTCTCCTACCCTGTGGGTTCTTGTGATTGAACTCAGGTCATCAGGATTGACTCCACTTGCCTTTATCCACTGAGAAATCTTGTCAGCCTAATATAGCCTCTTTTTTAATGTAAACACACAGACACCCACACATAATACAATATAGATCTTGTGAAAACCTGGGTCTCCTCACAGATATTAGTGCTGTTTCTTCCCCGATTGCACCTGTTCAATTTGACATTTAGTAAAACAGTAAATGGCTTTGCCTTTCCATTGAAGATGAGGGAAAGAAACTGGGTTTTTAGTGTTCCTAAATGTGTGGTGTGTAGCAGAGACTGGAAGAATTTCTGTTCTCATCATTACAGGATGTGTGCCTTTCCCCCAAGGGCTTCTGCTTCCTCAAGTCACTATGTCATCCTTCAACCAGAGCACTGCCCACTCAATAGTCTTCTTCCTCACTGGCATTCCTGGTCTTGAGACCTCTCAAGCCTGGATTTCCATCCCTTTCTGCTGTCTATATGCCATCGCCATCTCTGGGAACAGCATGATCCTGTTTGTCATCATCACTGAGTCAAGTCTCCATGAACCCATGTACTATTTCCTGTCCATGCTGTCCTTCACAGACCTGGGTCTGTGCTTCTCTACGGTGGTAACGGTGTTGGGCATCTTCTGGTTCAATGTTCGAGAGATTAGCTTTGATGCCTGCATTGGCCAGATGTTCTTTATCCATGGCTTTACATTCATGGAGTCTTCAGTCCTCCTGGTGATGGCCTTTGACCGCTTTATTGCCATCTGTAATCCACTGAGGTATGCTATGATCTTAACCAATTCACGGATCATTGCAGTGGGTTTTGCAATTGTAATTAGGGGGACCACAGCTCTTGTTCCTTTACTCCTGCTCCTCAAGCGTCTGTCTTATTGTCGTAGTCATGTGCTCCATCATTCCTATTGTTTCTATACTGATGTGATGAAGCTCTCATGCTCAGACACTAAGATCAACAGTGCCTTTGGCCTGACCCTTGTCATCTCGTATGCAGGATTGGACTCTGTTCTGATACTTCTATCTTATGTTCTGATCATCCGTTCTGTGCTGTGCATTGCATCTAAGGAGGAGCGGAAAAAGGCATTTGGCACCTGTGTCTCCCATCTCAGTGCTGTTGCTATCTTCTACATCCCTATGATCAGTGTGTCATTGGTGCATCGGTTTGCAAAGCATGCTCCTCCATTTGTGCATGCTCTAATTGCCAATGTTTATCTGCTCATCCCTCCTGTAATGAATCCCATAATCTATAGTGTGAAGACCAAACAAATTCGTAAGGCCATGCTTAAAGTATTCTTCATTAAGCAGCCTTAGGAAAGTTTTAGCGTTTTCAAAGAGAATCTTTCCCGAGTATCTGTGTTTGTTATTCATCTGTATGAATTAATACTGTAGCTTGAATAGCCTGTTAAAAAATATATTTTTATTCTGATGATCTTGAAATTTCCTGGGTATTCCTTAATGACAGAAATATCATGCTGTATAGTTCTTATCTTACTATTACTGCTGCACCTGGCAAAATATTGTTAACGTATGCTTATGTCTACCGATAAATTGATTTTAGTCCTCTATATTATGGTTCATCTAGCACAGATCCTAAGAAATACATATTTGAATAATTTTATAATTTATATTTTACTTTAAAATGATTATTGTTGTGAATCAAAAACATTTATAGTTGAATAAAATGAAATAGTAGAGTCATTAAAGAATCAATGAGAAATAAAACATGCTTGAAACGAATACTTTTCTAGTTCTTTAAAGAAGCCTTGAGATCTCTTTGTTAAATTAATTAATATTTTAATCTTACAAGATATGGTGAAGTATTGTCTAAAATGTCTAGGGAACCTTACATTAATTTGATCATCACAAAATGCAGTCATACATTGAAACTGAAGTTGTATCACATAATTATATAACTATTTTAGCTTAATATTAAGTTTAAAAATAATATATAGGAGATGAAAACGCTGATCTAATTTTATACACTGAGTATGTATAATGAATTATTAACCTGTACCCCTTAATATCTTAATTAAAATAATTAATGAAAGCTAAGTATTATGATTGAACTCTGATTTTTGACATCTATTTCCTCACTGGGCTGTAGATTCTGTGGGAGAAAGAATATTCTGTTCTCTGTACTACTCTAGTGAAAACTTTGGAATATGTTAAAGCCTTACAATGCTTTTTGAAAGAATTAATAAAGATTATTTGGTTGACTATGGGTCAGTAATGACAACATCTTTCTGAAGTTTACAGAATCATGAACTCACAGCAGTTAAATTTCCCTGCACAAGACCTACACAAGATCAGAGAACGCAACACTCCAGCATAGTTGGAGGGACTTTTAAAAATGTACTTTGATAGGAAGATTCTCACCAGTTTCTTCATGGAAGCTAAAGCAGTGTGTGGTGATTCTGAGGAGAAGGACACCATGAAGTAGAATGAGCCCACGGAGAGCCTCATTCTCTGGGGTCCCCATCATCTCCATCTGGGGTTTCTAATGAAGAGGTTTCAGAAAGCCTGAGATAGGTCTCCACATATGTTCTGTATCATTGAGCAGAAGAACCCAGCTGCTCAGCCCTGTCCTCTACAAAGCCCAAAAGAACAACCTGAGTGCTTGTAAGTAAAACTGAGTTACCAACAGAAATCAAATCTTTGTGGTACAAAATTGAGGTCTCCAATTTCTTGCTGACTGGTGAAGGGAGGAGGAGACTTGTGCTCCTTCTAAAATTTTCTTTCATCTACAACTACTGCATTAATAACACACTCACATCCTCCTATGCATCCTTGTATTTTATTTGTAGGCATATACATTTGTTTATGATCAAACTTAACCTTGTCCTCTGCTCTACCAACATCTTGCCAGGTCTAAGAGATACCAGAGAGTTCTATACAGTCTGGACTACGATGAAACAACCAGCTACCCCAGGACACGGCAGTACCCCAGCTTTCTTAGGTCTTCCAAAGATGGATGATGCCCTCCAGTTTAGCAGGAAGTAGTATTGAGAACTCTAAGCCCTTGTTCCCTATCCTGTCAAACCTAACTCCTCACCTTTTTAAATAATAAAAAATAAAGTTGGAAATGTAAGGATTCAGGTATTATGCTGACCTGTCCCTGTCACCTGGTAGAATACACTCAGGCAGTACCATGGTCAACCCAGGGTTCCATGATTGCTTAGTCTGCACACAGGTGCAAAGGACCCCTTTAAAAGACAGACTCCTAATCACTGAACTGAACCCAAGGAACCCAGTGACAGAGAGAGAGGAGTGATGAGCAAATTGGCAAAGAATGGGCTGGCAAAACCAGCAGAGACAGCTGATCTGAACAGGGGAGAGCTCTTGGATCCCAGACTGACAGTGGGGAGGCCAGCATGGGACTGATCTGGACCCCCCAAATGTGAGTGTCAGCGAGAAGGCCTGGGCAACCTATGGGGCCCTGAGCTGTGGATCAGTGTCTATCCCTGATATACAAACAGTCTTCGTGTGCCTATAGCACAAAGTGGGATGCTCTCTCAGCCTGGACTCTTAGGGGAGTACCTGGACCCTACCCAAAGTAAAATGACAGACTCTGATATCCCCTATGTGGAAGGATATGGCAATAGGGTGAGAGGGTGGGGGGAAAGGGGAGTGGGGAGGAGGGGAGGGAGAGGGAACTGGGATTGACATGTAAAACAAGCTATTTAAAATAAAAAAAAATTGAAGAAAAAAAAAAGACAGACTCCTGCCCACTTAAGCTCTTTTCTCATTGCAGCTCTGTTTCCTGCTGTTCCCCTGGGGCAGACAGGACTTTTCCTGTCTCTCTCTTCTCTTCTGTCCTCTCTCTGTCTCTGTGTCTCTTTACCTCTTTTCTCTTTCCTTCCCCCTCCTTTCCCTTTCTAACAAAACCCCTCACTTTAGCTCTGTCTGCCTGGCATGTTGGTCCCCAGCCTCGGCATCCTCACCTGCAATGGAATCTGCCTAGGTTCCCCATGCATTATCATAAAAGTCATTTGTTACATGGCAAATATCAGAGCATCTGACCCACTCAAAGTTTACATGAATTAGAAGAATTTGGCTTGCAATGCAGCATAAACTTTAAAATACAAATTTTCTTAAGAATTATATTGCGAATGCTTCATACTCCTTTCTGGTTGTGTGTCTTAATTCCTCACACACATGCTATGTTTGAAACTGTTCACATACAGATGAACTTTTAATATTGTAAATGGACCATCAGAATCATTGCATATACTGTTACTGTTTATATGAAATTCTACAATCATTTGTACATATTTCAAATTTCAATGTTTATTAATTGATTGCCATTTTCATTTAAGAAGAAATAAGCAAACATTCATTAATAAATTTATGAATATAAATAATATGGAATGCCCTTAGGGTTTTTATATTATTATTTATATTATTTCTATAAAACAGAAGGTTTCAGCATGGTATTGACATACAGGAACAATGTATTTAAATCATATTCTCTCTTTATCTGCTCTTATGCTTTTTTGCTGATGCACTAGTTACACCTTCATAAATACACAGCCTTATACTCCTTCTTATGTTTTCATTTGTTTCTAAAAATGATTCCACGAGGGAAAGACAACATCTGGTTTATACCTTTCTGAGTCTGGCTTAATTTACTTACTATATTATTTTGTATAAACTGCCATTCTAATGTAACTCTTCATTCATGACTTTGGTTCCTTATGGGGATACTGTCAGTTGATCCCTCAGTTTTCTTACTCCATCTATTGTCTCACAGAAATGTTGACTAGGCATCACAAATAAATATGTATTATCATTTCAGGACACTCAGCTGAAAATATTGAAGTTTGAATTCAATATGGCAACTTTCCAGAACACCACAACTTCTTCCGTCATTTTCCTGCTCACTGGCATGCCGGGGCTGGAAGCCTTCCACGCCTGGATCTCCATCCCCTTCTGCTTTCTCTATGCAACTGCCCTCTCAGGGAACAGCCTGATTCTCTTCGCCATTGTCACTCAGGCCAGCCTCCATGAGCCCATGTATTATTTCCTCTCCATGCTGTCCACCACTGACCTCGGGCTGTCCATATCCACTCTGGCCACCATGTTGGGGATATTCTGGTTCAATGCCAGGGAGGTCAATCAGCTTCAATGTCTGCTTGTCACAAATGTTCTTCATTAAACTCTTCACTGTCATGGAATCTTCAGTGCTGTTGGCCATGACTTTTGATCGTTATGTGGCCATCTCCAATCCTCTGAGGTATGCTTCTGTCTTAACTGACCTTAAAATAGCAGTGATTGGAGTAGCAATTGTCACCCGGGGAACCCTAATACAGACTCCCCTGGCAGTGCTCCTGAAAAGATTGTCCTATTGCAGCAGTCACGTGCTCCACCACTCCTACTGCTTCCACCCTGATGTCATGAAGCTCTCATGCACAGACACCAGGATCAACAGTGCAGTTGGGCTCACTGCGCTGATCTCCACTGCTGGAGTGGACTCTGTCTTCATCCTCCTTTCCTATGTCCTGATCATTCGAACTGTCCTCAGCATTGCTTCCCCGGAAGAGAGGAAGAAAGCCTTCAGCATGTGCATCTCCCATATCAGGGCTGTGGCTATATTCTATATTCCATTGATCAATTTGTCCTTTGTCCACAGATTTGGAAAACAAACTCCACTATATGTCCAGACTCTGATTGCCAGTGCCTACCTGTTGCTCTTTTCTGTCATGAACCTCATCATCTACAGTGTGAAGACCAAGCAGATATGCAAGGCCGTGCTGAAAGCTCTCCGTATTAGCATGACAAAGAGCTAGATGGTTGTTTTGTATGTTTTCTGTTCTTTGTCATAATAGTGCAGAGAACCAAGCTTATGCTGAGAATTATCAAAGTGGTTGATTTAGTTGCAAGAAAGAATGAGCCAAGAAAGTGGAATGTAAGCTGCAGAGTTTTAAATATGTCGGTGTTCCCTAAAATGTCATGATAGTAGTGACATTTCCTCATTATAATGAAAGTGTTTGACAATGTAATTGTCTAACTCAAGTATTCCAGTGTGGATTATTAATTCCTTTTTTATTGGTAAAGGGAATCAGGATTTATTGTTTCTTTTTTATTGAAATGTTTGTTACATGGATGGTATTCTGCTAGACATTGTTAGAAGTTTTACAAATCAAGGCAAGCTTTATTTATGTAATTTATATTCTCATGAGACCTTGGATGAATTGTATACATATATGCCAATGTTCGTATTCATATAAAGATGAACAGTTAAAAGTAAAACACTAGGAAAGCTGGGCATTGGTGGCACATGCCTTTAATCCCAGCACTCGGGAGGCAGAGGCAGGTGGATCTCTGTGAGTTCAAGGCCAGCTTGGTCTACAGAGTGAGTTCCAGGACAGCCTCCAAAACAATACAGAGAAATCCTGTCTCGAAAAACCAAAAAAAAAAAAAACCCAAAAAACCCCAGAAACACTAGGAAAGGCATATGATGAGAAGGCAGTTTTGAATGTCACTGAAGAGATTATGAAAAAGTTAAGATATTTAGAAATGATTCATAAAACTGTAAAACTTCAAGGTGGAAAGTGGCAAAAGTACAAAAATCTAAAGGAACAGTTAGACTAATTTTCTTATACACTTGGGACTGTGTGGCATGCATTAAAATTAACAGAGAGTTGAAGCAGATTATAGAAGTTACAGCTCACTCGGTTTTTATATAAGAAATAAATCCAAGATACATGTTTATTTCTCTTTTAAAATTTCTTTCCAGTTGAGTAAAATTAATTAAAAACATCTGCAATTGATGCTTGCTAGGAAATAGAAAGTCAGTTTTTGACAATCGAGTGCCATTGGGTATATTAACTACACCTCTCTTCTCCATAGGTCCCCGAACCCTGAGGGAAAGGTTTAGAAGGAGACATCTCATTTAGGAGTAACTGTTCCAAAGTCTCCTAACCTCTGCCACTATTCAGTTGTGAGCTTCTGTGTTATTACCCTCTACTGCATTGGGAATCTTCTCTGACATTGGCTGAGTGAGACACTTATCTATGAGTATAGCAGACCATCCTTGAGCCATTTTATTGCTATGTTTATTTCACACAGTGGTTCTCAACCATCCTGATGCTATGGCCCTTTAGTACATTTCCTCATGTGGTGACACCCACATGTTGATAACCACTGCTTTAGTAGAACAGTAGTATTTGATTTCCTCTAGGTCCATAGCCTATCCAGTCTCAGGTTCTTGGGCAATTTTGAAAAATAAATTATGTTTAAAAATAAGCTTAGACTTAAAAAAGACATCTAGAGATATGACAGTCTTTGAAGATCCCCCATGGAAGGTCTCACCTTCCCTGGGGAGCAGAAAGGGAATGGGATAGGGGTTCAGTGGGGGGCAGGGGAGGAGGGGAGGGAGTGGGCACTGGGATTGATATGTAAAACAAGCTTGTTTCTAATTTAAATTTAAAAAAGATATTTCGAGACAATGAGTGTTCTTACTACTCAACACCCATTTCCCTGACCATTAGTGTTTTTGTATCAGTGAAGGATGATTTACACATTAAGAAGCCAAGGTGAACCCATTAGTGCTAATCATTCAGTTTACTCTCTCTCTCTCTCTCTCTCTCTCTCTCTCTCTCTCTCTCTCTCTCTCTATACCACTTCTTGTCTGTTATAAGCACTGACAATGCTGCTATTTAAATATTTGTTGAATAAATAGAAGCACCAATGATTCCACTGGAAATGTACATGTATTAAAACTAAGCATTCTTTTTGCAGAAAAAAATAAGTCAATACGTTTAAGACAAGAACCAACATCAAGAAATTTCTTCAAGCCTGGGTTGTTTTTTTTTTAACTTGGGTGTGTGCATCTACAAAAAGAGGGAAATTCTTCTATTAGTCAATTAAATAACAACCAACCTTTCTAAAATGGAAAATGGATAAACCTGTAGAGATAATTCTGCTCCAGTGATTTTTTTCCTACCAACTTCAATGAGTTGCTTTGTTCTTGTTGAGATCATTTTAAAGTCATTTTTCTGCAGGCAGAATTTCCCTTAAACAGAACCAGGTTCTCAACATGACCTGTATAAACAAAACTATTTCTTTTATCACTTGGTTTGGTGTATTTGCAGACTTAATTAGTTTCTTTTTAATATTTAGATATTTTCTAGTCAGCACTATCCATGCATTTGTTCAACCACAAGCACTTAACTTTACATTATCTTACCCTCCTATTTTACATAATAACTTATAATTCATAATGACATTAAGGATCTTTGTTCTCAGAAGTAGAGAAATAGTGAAAAGCAGGGCTAATTACCTGTGTGTTGGCTTATTGTTGTTCAGAGATATCCTGTCTGCTGTTCAATTATCATAGAACTGGATGATATTTTCATTTGACTATTTAATCTCTTCTTTAAGTGTGTGCATATAAATACAAAGAAACCTAGATATAATACCATATGGATATTCTGAAAGCATGTGTCTCTTCACAGACTTCATTTTTGTTTTTTTCCCTAGTTTATCTGCCATCATACAGCAGAAAAACATGCATTTCCATTGAAGAACAGGGAACCATCTAGTTCATTAGTGATCGTCAATTGTGATGTATGTAGCAGAGACTGGAAGCATTTCTGTTCTCTCATGTTATAGGATGTGTGCCTTTCCCCTAAGGGCGTCTGATTCTTTCCATCACTATGTCATCATTCAACCGGAGCACTGTCTGACCACCCTGCATTCTTTTTCCTCACTGCTATTCCTGGTCTCGACACTTCTTACATCTGGATTTCCATCTTTTTCTGCTGTCTATATATCATCACCATCTCTGGGAATGCCATCATCAGCAAGTCAACCTCCATGAACCCATGTTCCATTTCCTAACCATACTGTCTTTCACAAACCTGGGTTGTGCCGTGTTAGCATAATGCTGGCTGTCATCTGGTCTGAGGTTTAAGAATTTATCTTTTTAAAAACAATATTTAATTTTTTTGGAAAATCTGTATGTTTATACAATGTTCTTTGATCATATTCTTCTAGCACCAACTCCTTCCAATATCCCTTAGTGTACAACTTCCTCCTTGCTTTGTAAAGAATGTAATTCCTCCTGGATGATGAGGAGGAATGTTGTAAATAGTAACTTCTGGACAGGACATATCTAACACACACACACACACACACACACACACACCCCTCATAGGAACTATGATTACTCTCACAGAACTTACATAATATTAAACAAGTCAAACTTACATTATGAATGGCAAAGGAACCCCAAGGAAGAGAAGACAGCTTTGATGCCTGCATTGGTCAATTGTTCTCCATGTCTTCATGTTCATTGAATCTTCAGTTCTCTTAGTGATAGTCGTTGACTGCTTCACTGTCATCGGCAACTCACTGAGGTAAGCCATGATTTTAACCAGTTCATAAGTCTTCACAGTGGGCTTTGCATATATCATCATGTGCATTACTCCTGCTCTTCAAAGTATCTGTCTTCTTGCCAGAGTCACATGCTTCTTCATTCTTACATTTGGACATCCACTCTGTGCTCTGCATTGCACTCAGGGTGAAATGGAAAAAGGTGCTTGGTATTCACATCTTCCATCTCAGGGCTGCTGACATCTTTGGCATCTACATCATCTCTTTGTATCCAGTGGGAACCATGATGCTCTCCTTTTGTACATTTTCATTGCTGATTTTTGTCTCTTATCTCTCTGTCATGTAATGAAACTTACAATTTACACCACAATAGACAAGAAAATCAAAGGCTGTGCTAAAATTTCCCTCCACAAAGTATTTTAGGAAAGTTTTTGTATCATCTGTCTCCAGATGCTCCTTGATTCAAATTTGGTTATTCACTAGTATGAATAGTATAGATTTTTATACTTTGCAATATGTTTTTTCTCTCTTTTGATGATTTAGTAATTTTACTGTCTTCATAGTCTTAGTTTGATTCCCTTTTAAATTAATTTAAAGTATATTTCATTAATTCTTTGAAATTCCTGAACAACACATTTTTCTTATGTTCATATTCCTCCACTAACTCCTTCTGGATAACATAGAGTCCTTACTTGGTACAGTTATAGGGACAAAAATAAATGGATAGATAGGCCCTAGGGGAGGACCTGGTACTATTATTTTGCTGAAGGGACCCAGTATTAAACTGACTCCTAATGACTCATTTCTATACACAAGATTACTGATACATCTTTTAGGGTTTGTCAGAGAATCTTCTGTTTGTAGTATCTGATGATTAACACAGAGACCCCCAAGTGGTCTCAGTGCAGTATGAGAGACTACAGAATTCTCAGCCCTAGACAAAAACATCTTGTGAAGTTTATTCCTTCTGATGAATCCATGCCTGGTATAATATCGACCTATGACTCTTCAGTATGGAAAAATTAAATCAGGAGCCTCTTACTGTCTCTAGAACATAACATAATATAATAACCTTCTGATATTTAATAGGGAGGTGACGTCTAAGTTTTATTAATTCATAATTTTTGATGGAATTGTTTATTATGACAAACAAATTGTTTCTAGTTGAATTCAGAATAAACTTAATAAATAAATTATGTTGTGAATAAAAGAACACATTTCTAATTGTTAAAGGTCACTGAGGTTGGAGGAAGGCATGAATGTCTGAGCTATTGGCTGGAAAGCTCTGCTTTCTTAGTCCTAGCTCCTGGGAGCACATCTTGTGCCACACCCCCCACATACTGCACTGCCAGTACCCAGGTAGCAGCATTCTCCCTGCCTACCCACACCATCCCCTGAAGCATGAGTGGCCCCTGTAGCAACATGCCATGCCTACACCTGGAGGAAGAGTGACCACCAGAGACACAGGCCCCATGTGCACCTGGGGGAAGAGGGACCACAGGAACCACAGGCCTC